GGAGCAAGCGCTGTGCTGCCCCTGCCGAGCAGTGCCTGTGCTGGGAATTGTTGCTGTTCTTTCTCTGCGTAGCCTTGGCTTCTGCACCATTTGTGTCAGTGCTCGAACATAAGGATCGTTGAATGGCTTTTCAGTAAATCCGTCAAAACTTAAAATTGTTACTGTTGTCATTGTTTTTACATGAGTAATCACTGTTAATAAGGAATTAATAAGAGGAGCGAGGTTGCCTTCCAAATCCCATCCCTTTTTATCTTTCCTGGATTTAAACAGAATGTGAGGATTAATTCCCATGGTGTGATTAACTTTAAATCCCAGCAGCCACAATTCCGAGCTCCTACTGCTTCCTTTGATACCCATACGTGTTAAAATCAGATTTTCATTGGCAGTAAAATTTCACAAGAAACAGTTTCTTCTGAAGAAACAAAGTGCATCTTGTTCAAATTAAGCTTTTGATTGACAAATTTTTGTACCAAAATAAATCTTACTTAGATAGTGGGGTTATATATTGAGGTATGCAGTAGAGCTTTTGTTGATGCTTACAGTATATTGCATTTTATGTCACATGTGCCACTCAGAAAACCATCATTTTTCTTGGTATTTAGTGTAGGCACGATGCAATGTGGTTCCCAGTTAAGAACTGAAGACAAACAGAGAAAATGCACTAGGGAACCCTGTGTAGTTTTGCCTCCTCCCTAAGCATGCTGAGCTTTGCTATGTTAAAATTTTAACGTCTTGTGATTGCTAAATCAATACCATAGTGATGGTTAGAACCTGTGGTGCTTTCCAGATGGTGCAGATGATGATTTGAAGAAAAAAAAAAAAAAAAAAAAAAGATTGCATGTTTACATGTGCAAGTTGAATATCTAAGGCCAGTAATGACAATGAGAAAGCAGTAGAATGGACAGTATCATTCTAAACTGGCTAAATTAAAATATGGGGGTTCTGTACTAGGAATTACATTTCCTATGCATATGAGGTATGGCAAGCAGCTAGGTGTAACTTCCCCAATATTTTTTTTTTTCTACAGTATAATGTATATGCTGAACAGCTGAGTTTGTCTTGTTATCAAGTTTCCTATTACGGACTGCCTACAGCCTCACAAGAGCCTTTGAAAGGAGACCATCCAGCTCTAGATCTGGTTACAAACACACATAAAACTCCTTTGAAATTGGTGCAGGAATAGGCTTCTTGCTGCTGTTCGTCCTCATAGAACCACTGAAAATTTCCAGTGAGGCTGTCACACCTGAGATTGAGTAATAATGGCTGAGCTTAAACCACAGTTGAGCTTATCATCTGCTGTGTGTCCTGGAAGACCCAGAGATGAAGAGGTTCATAGAGCTCATCTCAAATCCTGTAAATCAGGTCATAAGAGTCTTCCTCTCCAATAAGGAATGAAATTTATTAATAACATCAAATATTACATAATCTCAAAAATTGTTATAGGTAGCAGGTGTACTTATACTGAAGCTTAGACTAGAATAGCAGAATTAAGGATGAGCTTTCTCTTTTTGCCTTTCCAGGAACAGGTTAATTTTGTTCAAAGATAAACTAGATAGTTCTTTGAAGTATAACAATTTTTTTTTAAAAGGTTGGAATGAAAAAACTCTTTGTGTCTAGAAAGTGGACAACAAAAAAAGCAATCCAAGATGTGCTTTTCATCCTAATAGATAGGTTATAACATGATGAAATCATATCTAGACAAGCTGTCTTGATACTCGGAACACAGTTGTTATAGTAACAAAATTTATTTATCCTTTTCTTCCTGATCCAATCAAAAAGAAATACAAACAACAGAGAACATACAGGGAACTTGTTCCCAATTACTATTGCTTACCTTCATACTCCTCTTCTGAAAAGCCTTTTAATACACAAATAGGTAGCCAAAATACTTCATTGTCTCATACATGTTGGAGGAAAAAAAATCAAGTTTTTTTAATGCTCGTTAGTTATTTACCTTTGATTATTTTTCTTTTTTTTTTTTTTTGTGTACTCACCTGAAGTACCTTTTATTTACCATAGGCAATATTTCTAAGGCAGACTGTAACAGTTCCAGTACTCAGGTTAGGACAAGCACAGCTGATATTCACTATACTAATTCCTCTAAATGTTAGGGCAATAAACAGACTCCTATCTTGCAAAGGATAAGTGATTATGTATTAGTATCTGATGACTGGTATGTGCCAAGTCAAGGGCAAAGAGCCATGAATTTTGGGCCGTACTCAAATTTTCCCAGAAACCCTTGGTGAGGATGAGTAGAGTTCTGCAGGGAGCTCCATCAGCAGTAGTGCTACAGCACAGTAACCTGTCAGCTGAGGGAGGCCAAACTAAAATGCTAAGTCCAGAGTCAATGGTAAAACTTTAACAATTGTTTGTTAAAGCCAGGTGTTAATCCTTTGAATTGCATTGGAAAAGGTCCTGTGTTTACAAAACTGCCTTCTGCGCTGCCCCACCTCCTGCTGCAGGACCAGAGCAGGGTGTGGAAGCAGAAGCTGGGCATGGACCGTGTTGTGCTGAAATCTCAGTGCTGCGGCTGCAGTGCGCTGGGAGTTTGCTACCAAACAGCTGCAAGGCAACCCAAACAATTCGATCCTGCAGGTGACTCAGGACCTTCTTCTGTGGCTTAGGAAGTGATCCAGGCAAAATTAACAGGGCTTAGTTTTACAGAAATGGAGGCCAAGAAGTTACAATACTGCCTAGTCAAGTAGTGTGCACAAAGGAGTTTCTGGAGTAAATCGCCATCGCAGTGCACTATGCTTAGCCATAGGGAACCTCAGGATGCAGAATTGCTGCTGTAGAAACCCTGGTTTGCATTAACAAATGTATATTCAGGAACTAAATCTCATTTGGTACTTCTTATGCTTCTTTTTAAAAATACTCCACTTTCTCCTTACAGAGAAAAGCAAAATACATTTTTTTAAGTATTCCACCAACATAACATTATTTAGTACTGAAGGACAGTTTTGGTTTTTCATTTCATTTGGGATTGGGTTTTTAAATTTTTTTACATGATGTTTGTTTGAATTTAACAATATTTCTAAAGGATATCTCAGAACAATAAATTGACATTGTCCTTGTAGTCCTTTCATCCTTTTTAAACTATTTCCTCCATTGTTTCATGTAAGCTCTATTTTCCTCCCTTAAGTGCTAGAATAATGGTTTCTAACTTTCCTATCTCCAAGTTCATTCTCCAGTAGATTTAGCCTTTAAATCCATTTGTATTGGCCAAATTACCCCAGGCTTTTTCTTCTTAAATTCCCACAGCTTTGCTTTGTATTTCACTTTTTTCTTCAACAATCTAGAAAGAAACACTTATCTTACCAACACCTGTGGTGGTTAAAAACAACCACAAACAAACAAAAAGACCAAAAAAANAAAAAAAAAAAAAAAAAAAAAAAAAAAAAAAAAAAAAAAAAAAAAAAAAAAAAAAAAAAAAAAAACAAACAAAAAATCTAACTCATGCCTAGGTAACTTTAATGTAATGTTATAACCAAGACTTGATTTTTTTTTCAGGTTGGACACTGGAAAACATTTTGCCCAGGTGAATAATGTGAACAACAATCCAAGCGACAGCAGTAATGACTCCAAGCTACTACTGTCTTAAATGGAGTTAACAATTAAACAAGTCAAATATTCCATCTTGCATAAAGAATTTCCTGAATTACTGTTTTCTGATGGCAATTCTAGCATAGAGGCTGGTTTGTGAATTTTACACAGATTAAACGGGTTGGGTTTTACACAGTTTGGGGTTTTTTCTATAAAAATATGTGTTTTTGTGAATTTTTTCCACATGGGTGAATTGCTAAAAGATGAACTAAAAACATTCTCAAGTAATTATTGAGATATGAAAAACCTGTAGTTAATTTTTTGGTGAAGGATTTCAATGTCTTTGGATATAATCTGCTAAAAAAAAGTACAATCAAGTGTTTACATGTATTCTTTTTGAAAGAAAGAGGTATTTTTGTCTCAACAGTAAAAACTCATCATAAACCCTTCACTTTCCAGATATAACATGAAATTTTATACAATTTAACTCTTTAAATTTATGATTGGTGTTTCATTCAACATGAGAGTTGAAAAGGACAAAAACAAGTTTGCTTTTCTTCAAAGGAGTTCAGATCTGAGTAAACATTTCTCCACATTCAGTAATCACAGAGATTTTGAGCAGTACCTATATGTAAGCAAGACGTGAATGTTAAACTTAGCCAAAATTCATAAGTAAACTACAACTTCTACTTTGATTTTTAGGTTTTCAAGATTTTCTAAATGGCATCTGTTCTTTCACTAATTTTGGAAAGACAAACACTCCATTAAATTACTTTTTATTGGCACGTTGAAAAAATGCATGCTGTAATACTTCTCCACCTCTGCCACAGAAAGACCATTTTTTTTCTGGAATCTTTCTTCTGTCTGCTTTCTCATCTCTGTATCTAAGAAGGGCAGCTCAGGCTCCCACCACCCATCTGGACCCCTTGAAGACTGTTCCTCACTCCCAAACTGAGAAGCTCGTGAACTAGCAAGAAATGAAATGCACTGAAAACCAGAGGAAATGGAGAAAAACATATTTTACACACTAATTTATACACCTTTCTTTAAATACATTTTTATTAAAACATTTGCTTTTAATGACTTCTAGAAATTCACAATCTTGGTGCCTTCAGAAGCTGGTGACTTCCTTTAATCATGTTGAAGGAAGAAAAAATACATTCTGCTTTAGCAGAATTTCTTCTTACATTTAAGATTAACTGGTTGTATTTAGTAAGTTTCTTTGAACTTGTCAAGATGCTTCACCTTGTCCCTTTTAAAGTATGCTTTAAAGAAAACTACTTTCACAAGCAGACAGTAATCACAGATAAAGGTTCAGCATGCAGCAAAGGGCTGAAGTACAGGAAAACCACAAGGAGCAAACAGGTGTTACGAGATTGTGCTTTAAGAAACTACCCACAGAGACAACAGTGAGTGCAGATGAAAGACTGAAACTGAACAAGAACTAAAATGTCAGGGTTGAAATAGTTTTAGGTCACCTAATGGACAGATAAAGTTTAAAGTTCACATTCAGTATAAATGAGACAACATGCCTGTGATTATGCAGAGAGGCAAGCTGCAGCACAATGCCTGAACTCTCACAGAAAGGCTGCCAAGCTGATACCAGGGCTGACATGACTGACTCACTCAGGAATTAGGCACCAGATTTGAAAGTCTTGTGTTCATACACTGGGTGGTCTGCTCAGCGAGATGAATGGAGCAGGAGGGTTGATATCTGTATCTGTTAAGATAGAAGAAAAACTTCTCTACCTCTCCCAATATCGAGCAACAGCATTAATAAACATTTGCCTTTTTATGTCTGTGGCCAGCTTCTTGACCCAACGGTTCAGCTGTCACTGAAACACTCTGAATCCCTCCCTGTGAGTCTCTCTCTGTGTGAGAGTGAGACAGACTCAGAAACTGAGACTCTCACACTCAGAGAAAGGCCACTAGCATTTCACACCCATTTCTTTCATTTGCTTGCTTTCCCATAAGAAAACAGCAGAGTGCACCAGCAGCTAAGTTTATTTCAAGTCTTACCCCTTAGACTTAATACATACTTTAAGGACATTTGTATATGCCCTTTATCACAGGATTCTTAGCACATACATATTTGTTTATTGGAGTCAGGATTAGTTGTGCATGGTCTCCAGTCCAGTTTCTACTTAAATCTACAAGAATATATGTCAGATCTTTATAAAAACAGATCTTTCTCAAGTTTAACACACATCATGATTTGGGTATTCTTGGCTTTGTGGATGTTTTAAGCCAAAAAACAGCGATTTCGGTTTTAAAATATGTTAGATGTTTGGCAGATGTTTGGTAACTAATCTATGCAAAAAAATCCACCAAGTTTTAACACTGATCAAATAACAGAAAACAAATGCACTTAATAGTCCATCCTACTTCATTACTGAAATGTGCAGAATCTTGCTGTGTCTATTTGCAGGAGAGTAGGACTTACCATGCTGCCTGTCTTCTTCTGCTCTCTACAGCCTTTCCTGTTAAGTTACTTTGATGCCCAGTCCATCTTAATACAATATAACATTTTCCAGTAAAACAACTGCTGTATTTCCATAATTCAGTCATAAAAATAGTTCCCAAGTTCATATGTACTTTTGAAAGTTAATAAGGAGGTATCATTGTAGGGATTTCAGAGCTCAAATGACAAATTTCCATATATATTTGATATATCATTTTCATTAAGTATTTAATATTAATAAGGAACACTTGTATATATGTTTTTCTTTTGTTTGTCAGTTAACTTATATTTGGCAAAAAAAATTAGGCTGTAACAAATTTCAACATAATAAAGATCCATGGGATCAAAAATGTAATAGAAAGTGACCTTCCTCTGTCACTTAAAGCTCCTGCTCTTACTAAGAATCCACCTTGGGAAAGATACTGACTTTATTGTTTCTGCTGACTTTTCTTTCTGCTTTACACTTAGGCTGTTTTGTCTGGATTAGCTCTTCAGGGGTATTCCCCAAAGGAGGCAGGAGTCGCTTCTTATTGTTACGGTTTTCTGAGAGCCACTGTGGAGGCAGCTCAAAGGGTCCAAAACCAAACTGCATGGAGTACTTGTCATTTACTGTATCGGCTTCTGTGGGCACAGCTGGGGCCACCTGAGCTGCAATTGTCTGTGGTATAAACCTGTGAACCAAAGTCTGTCCTAGCTCTAAACTGGTGGTAGGAATTTCTTTCCGTTGAAAGTCACCAGAGCCAATGGATTTGGTCTCATTCTCCTCATCTTCCATCGGCTTGAAGATTTGTTGTTGCCCGATATGAAACATCTCCAGAAGCTGGCTTCCTGAATGCACGCTGGGCTCCAGATTATCATCTGCAATACCACCTGAGTTGACAATGTTTCTCCTGCTAAACCTTCGGTGCAGCTGTACTATTGTCCCCACTAAGCACTTCCGTACTGATTTGTTAACAGTTAAAAATAACAAAGGGTTGGCCAGCAAAGAGACCTTGGGCAACCAAATAGCAGTGAGGAGCAAGAAGACTGAAATATCTGAAATATTGAGTATGGTGCGGTAAATCACCAAAGTCAGGTAGGGGACACTGCAGAAGATAAATATCATAACCATAGAAAGCAGCATGATGTGGAGCTCAGCTTCTCGCTGGGAGGCATATGGGATAGAAACTGTATTCTGAGGGGTCCTTAATGCAGCTATGATGACTTTTTTCTTCTGGCTGGCACTCAGCGCTCTGCGAATAAGAATCATAAAGAGAAATACCACAGCCACCGGTACAATCACAGTGGTGATATTATAGATGATGACATATATCAGGTGGCCAAGGGAGTAACTCCAAGATTCAGAGCAAGTGGACATGGCATAAATATCAGACACATTGGTCACAGCAAATGCTGGAATGCTGGCCACTATTGCATGGGCCCAGATATAGATAACCAGGTCTCGGGATTTTGCATCAGATATTTTTCTTTCCAGAGGATATAAAACAGAGTAGTATCTGTCAAAATAAAAAAAAAAAAAAAAATTATTTTCATGGCCTATTGCTTATGAGAAGCCTCTCAGAAGCCATCTGAGCATAATGCTACAAATCCCTAACTGGGTTGCCAACTGACCTGTTTATGAAAGGAGAAAATTTTAAAAATAATAATAAAAACAACAACAAAAATACAAACAAACAAACAAACCCCCCAAAGGTCTGCCCTTGCAGGTCTGTCTGTAAAAAAACCTGACTATTTAAATGTCAAGATCACATTTTTCGTGGTGAAAATTTCTTTTGATACATCACTTTGGCTGATGCATATGAATATTATTTTGAAGATTTCACCATTAATTCACTTGTAAACTAGACAGTACATTGCACACATTCAAAATTTCAAAAGACATGGTGGAGGCCTGTGCAACATTCAAAGGCCAGACTCATAGTTTTAAAAGTTGCTTTATAACAGATTTTTTTCTGGCTATTTGGAAAGAGCTGTTGGTCACAAATTACATTTATCCATCTATTGGAAGTACAAAGATGTTTTGCTTTGCATAAACTGTGGCTGGCAAGCCTTGGGCAAAAGTACTGCTGAACACTGAACATTCTGTGTGCTTTAAAAAAAAAAGTGCATCTCTGACATGCACTTCAAATTTCAGACATTGATTGTTTGCTTTCTACTGGAGTACTGCTGTGGACTTTTAAGCTCACAGAGTTTTCATGACAGACCTAACTTGTCACACTTATCAATATAAGCAGTAGGAGTTTGTGCTTTTTGTGAGGCAGATCACACGTTTTCCACTGATATGCTGTTCCAGTTGCAACATTGGTGTGCATTACAGATAGTGATACCATATTTATCAAGACAAGGGGAGAAAGATGAAAGAAAAATCCAGGATTATGGCAAATTTTCCCCATTACCTGTCAAGAGCAATGGCTGGAAAACTAAGGATGGTCACTGAGCAGAAGACTTTGTGCAGAAACTTGGCAATTCTGCAGAAGAGCATCGTATAGATCCACCAGCAGCAGTGTGGACTGGCACTAAGAGCAATGTCAAAAGGCACACAGACTAGGCTGGCACAGATCCCCGAGCAGGCCAAATTCTTAATGAACCGGTTTGTTACAGATTTAAGTAGCGATGTTCTGCAAGTTGACCACAGCACCATGATGTTACCTGTGAGTAGAGACAGGAAGCATAAAAAAAGGAAAACAGACAAACAAACAGCCCCAAGCCCCAGTAACAAGAATCTTAACACATTTGAATGTTCCCTAGTACTAAAAATGAAAATAATTGTTTGGAGTTTGCCAGGTATCACTGATTTGGATCATGATGCTGCTCAGATTAGGAAGTCTGTAAAGGCTAGTGGCTTCATGAATCAGAAGGCTGGAAACAATTACACACACTCCAGCTATCCCCTCTCAGCTTTTCATAATGAATAAATTAGGGGATTTCAGAAACAAATGCCTAAGAAAACTATCTAAACCATATTTTTAGATACTTATATTAATTCCTGTATTAAATGTTCTATCCTCAGTATTCAAATACTAGCTAAATACTACTACAGTATTCAGAAACTAGCTAAAGTGCTCATATTTTAATAAATAGTACAGAATTCTTTTTTAAATATAAAAATTTACACTATTACAAATTTACACTAAATAAATACAGGTACAATTAAAATAAGAATATAAGTATGTAGTTTTAATCTGTTTGTAAGTGGATTACAACAGCTTGCTTTTATTTTCATTGACCACTTAAATGGCACAGACAGGCTTGTGTAAAGCCACATCCAGAAGAAATCTACCTTTTCCTCCTCCCCCAAGATATTCTCTATGTACATAACAACAAAACAAATGGGACAAGCATAACAGGAAAAAAAAAAAGACTTGCTGCATGTAACTTCACAGAAGTATACAAAGAATGCAACCTGCTGATTAAGATACTCAAGCTCTACACATTTGTTTCAAATAGGGTGGGTGGATAGAAGTGAAGCAGAAGTACAGAAAAAAACCCTCAGGATTAGCTATGACAGTATTTTTGCTTTGTCATTGCATTCCATCCAAATCTCAGAAAGAAATATCATACAATAGACACAAGTTCTCCATCACAAATTTCCCTATGATTGTATCTTACACAACAACAGCACAAGAGTAAATTAAGTGATCTGTTCTAATAGCATGGACCACTTCTAATGCATATCAAGATACCATAAAACTCACAGGATCATCTCTCTCCTTTAAAAATCAGTCTTTAGAAAGATCACTGAATCATAGAACAGTTTGGGTCAGAAGGGACCTGAAAGATCATCTTGTTCCAACCCTCCTGCCATAGGCAGGGACAACTTCCACTAGACCAGGTTGCTCAAAGTCCTATTTAACCTGGACTTGAACACATCCAGGGATGGGGCATCCACAATGTCTGCGGGCAACTTGTTCCAGTGCGTTACCACCCTCACAGTAAAGAATTTCTTGCTAATATCTAATCTAAACCTGCCCTCTTTCAGTTTAAAGCCATTTCCCCATATCCTATCACTACATGCCCTTGTAAAAAATCCCTTTCTAGCCAGCTCTCTTGCAGCCCCCTTGAAGTACTGGAAGGCTGCAGTGAGCTCTCCCTGGAGCCTTTTCTTCTCCAGGCTTGGCAACCCAACTACTTTAGGCTGCCTACATCAAGTGCTTCAGCCCTCTGATCTATGGAGGCAAGGATCTCTGCTAGCACAGCTGAGAGGGGCACACTCATGTAACATCATGTAACAACATCATGCAAACTGGTCCCAGCTCCAGCCCTGACTTCACAGACAATCTTTTTCTCCTTTATTTTATTTCTCCCAAAGATGCACTGTGCAGTACCACTAGATCAGTCAAAGCATAGCTATGAGCATACAAATACTGCTCAACAAGACAACTCCATTTATTCTCTGAGGCTGGATAGCATGAAAAGTAGAGTTTAGCTTCCAGCCTCCAAAGTTAAGCTGTTCTTACTGCAGACCATATCAACAGCCACATTGTGGATACTCTATATTGTTGACACTTACCAGAAGTTCTTTGGAGTTGAAGTGTAATTGATTTATGTGGCAGATTTGTTAGTGTTTTTGTAGGTTACCTACAAATAGACATAATGAAAGAAAACAGCATCTTAAGCTGCTGATTGAGATTTGAAAAAGCAGCTGCAGTCCCCAACACTTCTCTCTGTTGTCTTTATCATTCTCTGTCTTGATTTGTCCTCCAATCAATAAAAACCCTCAAGCTTTTATGTGCCAAGTAGAGTATTCCAACGGCTGTCCATGTAAAATAGCAGCAAGACCATATTCTTGTTCACATGGCCAATGTGTACCAAATGACAAGTACCAAGAACTAGCAAAAAGTCTGTTTCTGCTTCTTGATAAAACAGCACTGTTTCAATGGAAGCATTCAATATTAACTTTAAAATCTACCTCACACACCTATTTCAGTCTGCAGTACCTGAATGTCATTTGGGATTCAATTTTCTATACACTGTGTCATGTGTCTTATGTAAATTCCTTTTGATACTGACAAAATATTGAGTTACATCTCTACTATCTGGTGTATTTTGAAGAAAGGAATCATCACCTGGTTTTGGCAGGTGCTATAGGCTCAACAATGTATTCTTCAGGCAGTATTCAATCAGTTGTATTTAAAGCTTTCTAAGTTGCTAGGAGATACTCAGCCAACCAAACCACTTGCTTTCAAAAATATCTCCAACTTTCCAGCTATTAGAAAGTACTTCTAACAGTAATAATATACTTTTACAATGCCCTGGAGAGGGGAGAAAACAGGCTTTTTTGTGTGTTTTTGTTTGTTTCTTTAAAATGATTTTAGATCTTTCATCTCATTTCCATTGCATTGATTTTATAACATTAATTCCCAAGCAAGTTTCACCTTCATTAGAATTAATATAAATGAAGAATGGAAAACTGAAAGAAATCTGAAGTGTTTTCATTAATACTTCAGAAGCCTCTAGAGAACTACTAAGCTTCTCTTCTGGGTCCTGCAGAGGAGCTTCATGCAAGACTCATTATCAGCTGTTGAATACTTCTGCAAATTATGTCATATTGTCATTTATACATCATAGAATCACAAGGAAATTAAATTAGCGCTTTTCTGATGGATCCTAAATGGGAAAAATGAAGTGTAAAAAAATTTTGGTTCAAAGACAAGGAGGAACTCTTTAAACAGAATAAAATCAGAGCCTGAAAGGCAAAAAAGGATAAGCAGACAGAAGTGTCTACTTGGGACACTGGAAAACTAGTCAGGGAATACCCCTCAGGAAAACATTATTTTTTCATTTGCAACTATGATTTATCTATTAATAAACTGCTCTAATGAACCAGGCCCTCTTTAGTATAGACTAGTAGATCTTTGTGCTGATGCCTTCAAATCAAGTATTTCCCTTCATACATCCCAAAGCAGGGGAAAAATTACACCAGAAACTTTGCATGGCATTAAATATAAGAAGCTTTGGAACAAAACTGCAAACATTTCCAATTTCATTGTTTCTCAATTTTCCCCAGCAACTTCTTTCCATGGAAGAGGATAACACTGCTCCAAGCAACAAGGCAATTCAATAAACAATAGTGCTCTGAATACCAATTGTGCTCTGAATTTTTCCACAGTGTCTTGAGGCTCTTTTCCACTCTCCATGTATTAGTCATTCACTGATGAACCTGGGAAAAATTTATTCTCCTTAGGTTACAAGTGTACTGGAGTGTTTCACATCCTCACAGTAGGCAAAACTGTCATTTTCTACCATAGATTAGTTTCAGAAGGGTTTCTGCTGGATAACTGGTCTAGAGCAACACAACCTCAGCTACAAACTTCCCATGGGGTTTGTACTAGTTAGCTGAGAGGCATCCAAGAAAAATGGGAGTGAAGAAACAGCTGGAAAACGCAGCATCTTGCCATTTCTTTATATTCAGTCAATACTGTCAGGAACATGAGATAAATGATCACATGTCACAAAGCATATCCCATATTGCCAAATTCCACCACTAATGCAGAAAGATGAAGTGGTTTTAATTTAAAAAGGAAAAGCATATATTTGGTCTTCTCAGAGAGTGAGCTGTGTCTACATAAAACCCTTATGACACCTGACATTATTTGACAACTTTCTCAATACACAGACTGACTGAGCAAGACAGAAAAATCAAGCTTAGAATAGAATAGCTGAAGTTGAAAGGAGCCCAGTGAGATCCACTGACTCCCTCAAGTCTCCCTCACTGACATACCTACAACTAAACTCTGTGACTAAGAGCCATGCAGAAAAAGTCACTGAACCCTGTCAGGGTTGGTGCTGTGACCGCTTCTCTGGGGAGCCTGTTCCAGTGACCAATGACCCTGCCAGTGAAGAACCTCTTCCTAATGTCCCATCTGAGCTTCCCCTGATGCAGCTTGATTCCATTTCCTCATGTCCCATTTCTGGTCACCAGAAAGAAGAGATCACCACCTCCCATTCTGCTGCCCTCCTTGAGGAAGGTGCAGACTGAAACGGGGTCACCCTCTGCCTTCTCTTCTCCAGGCTGACCAAGTGACCTCAGGTGCTACCCATAAGTAGCTCGTCTGTGCCTTTGGCCAGTTGTCCAAGTAAAAAAGAAATGTGAAATATTAAAGGTAACCACTACATGAGTAGCAGCTCTTTTCACTTTAGAAACATGTTTAAAGCTTGTCAAGTCAGAGTAAATTTCATCCTGTTATTATTATTAATTATCAACATTCAATAAATCTCCATGTACTATATACCGACTCTATTGTATGAGATTGAAAAGATTATTGTTTCCAGTAATTCCCTACTTTTTTTTAAATTGAGAAACATCATACATGAGCAGCTACATTGCACATTAAGTTGCACAGAAGTACACTGAGAAAGTAAATACAATGGTTCACCACAGCATGCTGCCCCAAAATCCTTCCAGCCTTTATTGTGGTTCAAGTTCACTGAATCTGCAAACAGTAACATTTTCTGACCACAAAATGTTATCAGAATACATTAGTCTGATTCAGAGCAGCAAAAATTACTTTTGCTCCTCTTCCAATTTGTACTCCTTGAATTTCACTGCCAAATGCAGGCATCAACAGCTGAGATAGTCCTGAAGTACTAGCTTTTAGCACTACTTCAAATAATGTGAAAGAGTCATAAAAATACCTTTAACAAGCAGA